CTTGTTAAAGAGTAATTTAATAAATATGTATGCGCTACGTGTACTTAATGGTTGCTAATGCAAATTTGAACCAACTTACATATAATACAAGACAGCTATATCAATGTTACACCTATGTTGCTCTACACTTACAAAAAAATAAATAAAAAACCACACAAAATATAATAAATATGCAATAGCAATTTTTTTGGTATAAAAATCAGACAACTAAATGTTAGGGTGAAAAATCGGGCAAATAAAGCATAAAGCCTCGGGCAAAGGTGAAAAATCACGGACAAACCACACAGAAATCATTCAAGTTAACGGGATACAACGATCTGCACTTTCGGCGCTCGTGACCTGTGACTCGGCCATTTTTACCAGCCGATGTAGTGCGCCGGGCGCCTCGTCGTGTGCCAACCAACCAAATACAAACAAAAATGCGAAAAATTCCACCAAACGGCGATCGCCGATATTAAAATGACAAAACAATGCACGCTGTCACTCCGATAAAATGTGAAACAAACAATATTTGAAAATATTTAAACTATATTTGCTCCTTTTTACTACCTTCAAAAATTCATAGACTATATAGAAAACCAATCATAAATTACTTTCAAGCGACTTCCAAAAAGTTAATGTTTTACATGAACATGTCATTCCAAAAATTCCAAAGAAGTTACAAATATTATTTATATACAAAACTTCATGACGATTAATCTGTTAAGATACGACGATATCGAACACGAGAATTAAAAAACTGGTAATAGATAATTTTTTCAACATGTAATTCTCAGATTGTATGATAAATATGGAGAATTAAATATAGTATGGACGGAATTAAATAGTACCGTAGTATTTGCCTGAAGTCAACAAAAGGACTTTACAACAGCAAATTCTATAATATTGTTATTTAACTACGATCGCATTTAATAACATCGTAACATAAGCGATTTTGTCCAATATCCATTCATCATGGCAAGTGGGAAAACGAACTACCCATTTTATTCCCAAAATAATTCACGTGGCGTGTATCAAAATATTAAAAGTGATAAAGCTTTATATCTTTCCCAATATACTGGTATAAAAATTAATATTAGTGGTAGAGACATTATTAAATTTAGATCTACTTAAATTGTAATTGTTTAATGATCTATATACTTCAGTTATTTTATTGCGATAATAAAAAAATCAACTCATCCCATTAACTTCTTCTAGAATGGGAAGATCCCATTACCTAGAAACAAGAAAGAATAAAGTACTTTTTTAATCTACCGCTCATTTGGAAACCTGTGTCATCACAAAAAGAATATGCAAGAATTTTGCATGTTGCTCTTTTAAACAAATGTGGTAACAGTACATTTTTAATACATATGTGAAAACTTACTTAACTTACTCGAATTCAATGCAAAAGTCAAAATATTAAATATACAGTAACGATATAAGAGTAGCTAAAAATTTAGAATTACAAATTTTATTTAATTTCCAAACATTTTCATATGCATATTATACATATGAGTGTTTATAGATTAGAGTATATATTATATTTCAATATAAAATTAACATTAAAGGAAATGTAAATTTCATAATTATATCAGCTTCGAGCTCCTTATCTAGTGGGAATTTTCTAAACCACCTAAGTCTTATGCTAAGTATTAATAGAAAATATATCAGATTATAGTTGAAATTTAAATGTAAGTAACATATATCTACCATTAAAATAACAATCATAACAAATTAAGTAAAAATAAAACATTTTAAATACTTACTTGTCAATGAATTGTTGACATAGATAACTTATACGCTTTTATGAATAACTATGAATATTAATATAATCACAACCTTCACATATTCTATTAATTAGTAGATCGATTAAAGTAGACAAATGCCATTGAGATCGAACCATATAGATTCGCCTGTAATGCCTACTAACGGTCAAGGACAGATGGTAACTGATCATAAATTCCATTACACAAAGCAATTTTCTCCAGTATGACACATTTATCATGTATGTATATTAATGGACTTCAAAAAATTGTTTTTAAATCCTCGTCAAAATTTGGTGATACTTTTTATACAAAGCCTATCTATCTCTTAGATCTAAATAATATGATATAAATAAAGTTAAAAATATAACGAACACTGTTATAAATATTACACTACAATCTGATTTAAACTTTATCTTAAAATTTGTTACGCAATTATTGTTTAGTATTGTATTAATTCTGGTGTTAACTTTTATTGAAAATGATAAATATTCTGTTATTATAATAATAATATCGTTAATTTTATTATAAATGTATGGTATTGACAATAAATTAATAGAGATAAAAAAATGAGTATCTAATAATGATTATAATATGAGTAAAACATACTTCTTAGGTTTTCGTCTACAATAAAGAGATGATAAAATTAGATCTATACGACGAGTACGTACACTAGTAATTTATTATTCTTGTAAAAATATTTAATCCATAGAAAATTGGATTCTCTTTACACTCATTTTTCTATAATGTACACATATGTATATGGACACATATTATATAAAATTAATCTTTATTATTTACCTATTTGTAATGTTTTTATTATTTGTATTCTATATATAAACATATTATAAGTACATATTTTTTTTACTATTCAATTAAACAAAGGAAAAGTATTCATCTCGTTGGGACTTCTTTTTTGTAAATATTTTTTTGTAAATTTTATTAGGCCAGTGTTTATATTTAATTAACGTAGAGTTATTTAAAAGTTACAGCAATTAAGACGCTGAAATTCCAGCCCATTTTTTTTAAATGTTAAACATTTTTTTTCGCAGCTGACCTGTATAGGTACAGCTCAAACGAGTGATAGGGCGCGAGTACAGCGCAAACCTATGGAAGGATTTACGGAGTGGCTGGAGGCCATCCTGCTTGACGGATACAAGTTTAGTCTTTAGCACAGATAACACAATATTACATATTATAAGACTGCTAGAGGTTCCAACCTCGACTTGGGCCTTCGTAATTTCGTTCCACTTTTGATTAGGGATCGATCGAAAAGGAGCAAATAGCAATAGGTACTCCTAAATTATTAACTCCTAATTATTCATTTTTAAACATAAAATCTAAAATAAGGACTTCTAAAAATTAAAAATTTTAAGTGGTGTCTGATGGACTTCATCATATCATATTTTAAGTTTGAATGTCAAATCCGAGATTTTCTACAATGCAATTTTTTCATTCGATTCAGTCGAGTAAGTAGCGAGTTTTAACTATGTATATTCAAAGTTTAGAGTACTCGCTTACTCTACATTACTACATTTCATCATTACAATTACATGTTGTGATATTATTTTTTGCCAAAAATACAATTTTTTTTTTAATATACTCTCTTTTAGGATATTTGGAATATAATAATAATAACTGGGTGGTGCAGCGTACGATCCGGTAGTCTGATTGCAAGACCGGACCACACAATAAAGTACCTCGAAGCGGTGTAGCCGCATAAAGATCGACCATGTTTTATGGGTATTACGTTTACACGATTGCTCGTCTTGGGACGGCGGGGCCCTTTGTATTCTTAGATAAAATAAATAAATCGATACCCATAAAATTGTTCTGTGAATTAGTTTGCCAAACAACATTAATTTGAACAAAGTGACAAAAGACTGTATGAAATTTGCGGTGTTATTTTATGTATTATAATTATAGTTATAAACACATACTGTTCCGGCACTCCTTCAACACTCTTGAACGCAATCTATTTTAACTGCAAAAAGTTGCTATTTAAATGTGCACAGGCGCATTGGATTTGTTTTCGATGTACCTGCGTTATTTTGTATTCTCTCACTTTTTCTTCGTCTACAAAAATCAATCGGTCTCCTCAAAATTGTTAAAAATAATTATTAAAATTCAATATTAAAAGCAAATTTGGGTTTCATTTGAAACTCCGATGTGTTAGCGAAGACATATTATGGTGGCCCATGAGGGGAACAAAATTTTACCAAGATATTCGTAAATCAAAATCTCCTATACAACTACGCAACGTGGCGGACGTGTTCTACTACGTCGTATATCATCACAAAATCATCACGAGGATTGAATTGAAGTCAAGATTATCTGGGAATCGTCTTCATGTAATGAACAGTGAAGCAACAAAAGCATCACAGCATACACAGCGGTCCTGACTAAAAGATAAGTGCCTTCCCTCATTCCTTTACAATTATCCAAATTACTTTCATACAAAATCGCTTCTAAAACATATTTAATCTATCTTATTTTTATAAAATATATATTAATTATAAGTTAGTTATATTATTTATAGGTAACTATTGCAAAAAATAGTATAAATATACGTAAATACATAAAATAAAAAGTAAGAAACCACGAACAAAAGTGAGTAATAAAATACTTTTATGCAATTTGCTTAACACATAAATGAGTAATTAGTTGATATATTTTCTTATTTCTCATTTTATATTGTTTCTGTCCACTTATATTAAAACTGTCTCTCTTTGGGGTATACAGAGACTATTATATAAAGAATAAAAATTGTGTAACCTACAATTCATTCCTGCTATTTGGTGAATTTATTGTGCAAACTAATTGTTGAACTTAAAATACAGCTATAGAACATGTAATATTGTTATATGTCGACTTATAAATATCGTAAAACTAGTAACATTATTATATTTAAACTCAATAAATATTAAAATAGTTGATTTCCAATATTAAGCAAACTAAACGGGTAGGTATCCGTATTAAAATTTAGGTCAGTTATTACAATGTTCTAACGTAATTTTGCCGACTAATTCCAGTGACATCTATCGCTGCGCGCGGGGTTGAGCTGTGCATTGAGTGACAGCGCGACGTTAAGCAGCTGCGTGAGCATCGCCGGTTTCGCTGAGCAGTGGTAGCCAAAGCAAGGAGCGTGAGAATTTTATTTGTTTTCTTTCTTACTTGATTACAATAATTATAAATAGTCACAAATTATACTTAAACCTAATTCAATATAATAACAACTAATACTTGTTTTGCAAAATGACCGATAAAGAGACAAATGCGTTGTCATTATCACAATCTTCATTAGGTACAATACGAAGTAATTTAAAAGAATTAGTTACAAAGCGTAGCTCAATAAAGGGACAGATAACAAAATTTAAAAATTATTTGTCACAATTAAAGGATCAAGATCAATTTTCTAATATTGAATTAGCAGAATTAAACATCAAAATAACTAAATTTGAAGGGTTGTCTATAAAATTTGATAACTTACAAAGCGACATTGAAGTTTTAAATGCAGATAATATTGATTTCGAAATTGAAGAACGTGACAATATTGAACGTGATATTATAATTGGCATCGCAACTGCTAAAACTTTAGTCGAGGCTCATACTGATAATGCTAAAGATCAGTCTCAGTGCTTTCACGATCATCAAGAAACGAGCTTTAAGCTCCCGCAAATCCAAATTTCTAAGTACGACGGTTCTTATTTGCGGTGGCTAGAATTTCGTGATTCCTATGAAAGCTTAATTCATAACAATAGCCGCATCTCACCCATTCATAAGTTTCATTATCTTACATCATATTTAGAGGGAGATGCAGCTAGAATTATTTCTAATCTCGAAGTGTCATCTGCTAATTATTCTGAGGCATGGAAAATTATTTGCGATAGGTATAATAACAAAAGATCATTAATTAATCATCATCTTAAATCATTATTTAATATACAACCACTCGGTCGCGAATCTGACAGGTCGCTGAGATTCTTAGTGGATCATGTAACTAAAAACTTGCGTGCGTTGGCCTGCTTAGACCAACCGACAGATCACTGGGATATATTATTGATCTATATGTTGTCTACTAAATTAGACAATATAACATTAATTAAATGGGAGGAACATAGAAATACTCTCGACGATGTTCCCACTTTAAAAGAATTTTATAAATTTCTAAATGATCGTGCCGATGTCTTGGAGTCTTTGACTCATAATAAAAATGATAATAACTTTCATAAAAATATACCCACAAATTCTCGTCATTCTATACCTATTAATAATACAAATAAAATAAATTCTCCAAGCTCACATCATAATCGTACTTCATATACAAAGTCTTTTACTAGTATTAATCAAAATAGTAATAAATACCTATGTATCATATGTAATGAAAATCATAAAATATATGATTGTTCCGTATTCAAATCTAAGAGCATACAAGATAGATTAACGGAAGTGTCCACATATAAGTTATGTCCAAATTGTTTAAGACAAGGCCATCCATTAAGTGATTGTCGTATGGGACCTTGCAGAATATGTAAGCAAAGGCATAATAGTTTACTTCATAATCCTCTAAAAGAGATTAAAAGTAACGCCGCTGTGAGAGATAATGATACAGTAGTTAACTTTCATAATCAAACACCAAATCAAGTTATACTCTCTACAGCATTAGTGGAAGTTTGTAATCCATCTACAAACCAATCAGAGAAAATTCGTGTGCTTTTAGATTGCGGAAGTCAGTCTTCATTTATTAGTAAATCTCTAAAGGAAAAATTATCTCTAAATTCAAATCATATAGATACTATAAGAGTTATTGGCATAGGTAATAACTGTACAAATAATATTATAGAAACATGTACAACGCAACTAAAATCATTAAACAGTTCTTATCAACTAAATTTATCGTGCTTAGTCTTAGACAAAATAACAAGTGAGATTCCTAAAGCTCCTATAAATATACAAAATATTAACTTACCTGAAAACTTGCCTCTGGCCGATCCTGTATTTCACAAACCTGCCTGTATCGATGTTCTGCTAGGAGCTGATGTCTTTTGGGAAATAATAGGTAATGAAACTCGGTGTATCGGTGAAAGGGGTCCTAAATTGATAAATTCAAAATTTGGCTGGATAATATCTGGTCCCATTCCTTCTAAAAATAAAAAATATAACAAAATATATTGCAATCATGCTTTAACTAAATCATCATACAATGATATAGATGATATCATTCCTAAATTCTGGGAAATCGAAGAGCTTCCTAAAAGGCCAATTCTCAGTAAAAACGAAAAACTATGCGAAAAACATTTCGTATCAAACACGACTCGTCTAAATACAGGTAGATTTTGCGTCAGATTACCTTTACATGACACTCCCGATTGTCTTGGAGATTCCTATAATCTTGCTAAAAGGAGACTACTAAATTTAGAAAGAAGATTTAGACGAAATCCATCTCTAAAAATCGATTACGCAAAATTTATCAATGAGTATACAGAGTTAGGTCATTTATCAAATTTAAATTTTGTAAAATCACTTAATTCATACTATTTATGTCACCATGCAGTCATGAAGGAAAGTAGCGAGTCCACAAAGCTCCGTGTTGTTTTTGACGGTTCTGCTTCCACATCATCAGGATATGCTCTCAACGATATTTTGATGGTGGGTCCAAATATGCAGGATTCTCTCTTCTCCATATTAATTAGAAGCAGACAATATAAATATCTTTTATGTGGCGACATAGAGAAGATGTATCGCCAAGTTGAAGTAAACGAAAATGATCGGGCGCTGCAACTAATATTATGGAGAGGAGATGAGTCTGAACCCATACAAACATTGAGTCTTAATACTGTCACTTACGGGACTGCAAGTGCTAGTTATTTAAGCACTCGATGTATTTGGCAAATCGGTGAGGAGCAGAATGATGAACTTATCAAAACCATTATAAAAAAGGACTTTTATATCGACGATCTCATCACAGGTTGTGACGATGAAGAGCAATTACGCTACATAAAACATTCAGTAACAAAGGCATTAAGTAATGGTTGTTTTAATTTAAGAAAATTTAAAGGCAATTCTAAAGTTATATTTGAAAATAATTCATCTAATTCACAAGATAATTTGACAATTAGTGAATCAACTAGCACCCTCGGGCTTGGCTGGAATCCTTCTAGCGATAGTCTAAATTTTCCACTAAAAAATATACCTAAATGTAACATGGTGACTAAAAGAAATATTTTATCAATTTCATTCCAAATATTTGATCCTCTTGGACTTTTAAGCCCTTGTATCATACAACCAAAAATTATTATGCAAAATTTATGGAAAGAAAAGATTCAGAGAGAGCTGGCAAAAATATTGTGACAATATACAGTATCTCAAAGAATTTCAAGTACCAAGATTAGTTCTATGCAATAATCCAATCGAAATAGAACTACACTCATTTAGTGATGCTTCTCAGGCAGCATACGGTGCATGTATTTACATGCGATCCATAGACGCTAATAATAGGGTATCTGTTAAATTATTATGTTCCAAATCTAAAGTATCACCAATAAAACCAATAACTATGCCACGCTTAGAGCTTTGTGCTGCTCTTTTAGCGGCTAGGCTTAGTGGAACGGTTATAGAATCCCTACGATACAAACCAAATAATGTAATCCACTGGTGTGACTCCAGTATAGTAATTTCTTGGATTAATAGTGATGTTACCAAGTTAAAAACTTTTGTTGCTAATCGCATAAACGAAATTCAGGAAAAAACTGTAGCATCATCGTGGCGTTATGTTCCGACTGATTCCAATCCGGCGGATTTGATATCCAGGGGCGTTGATGCAGGCAGGCTGGTGTCTATGAAGCTGTGGTGGTTTGGTCCGCAATTTTTATCTGAAAATAAAACAAAATGGCCCAAATTAAAAAATAATAAAATAGTTGTAAACTTACCTGAAGTGAAGTCGAATCCTGTAGTTGTTGCTGAACCTGTAATAAAATTTGAAAGATATTCAAAATTAGATAAAATTATAAGAATATTTGCTTATGTTAGACGTTTTATTTATAATACTAAAAATTCTACAAATAAAAAATACGGTAATTTGTCATTAGAAGAATTTAATGAGTCTTTTATATTACTTTGTGCTATGGCTCAAAAACAAACATTCCCTATTGAATATGAATTATTACTAAAAAACAAACAGCTTAGTACTAAATCAAAACTATTACCTTTATCTCCATTTATGGACAAGGATAATGTAATGCGAGTCGGCGGTCGATTGGAAACGTCTGATTATCCGTATGAGAAAAAACATCCCATTCTATTGCATTCAACTCATCATTTAACTAAACTTTATTTCGAAAAAGAACATCTGCAAAATATGCATGCTGGACCACAGCTTCTTTTAGCTACGGTTCGAGAAATCATTTGGCCTATCGGTGGCAGACATTTGGCAAGACGAACAGCTAATAAGTGCGTAGTTTGCAGACGTGCTAGAGGTACTACTCTCCATCCTAAAATGGGCGAGTTACCACTACAAAGGGTAACACCAAATTTTCCCTTTCTGTCGGTCGGTATAGATTTTGCCGGTCCATTTTACATAATTAATCGTAAAGGTCGGGGTAATAAACTTATCAAGTGCTATTTATGCTTGTTTATTTGTTTACGATACAAATGTATCCATTTAGAAGGAGTCAGTGACTTGTCAAAAGATGCATTCCTTATGACACTTCGACGATTTATAGCGCGTCGAGGAAAGCCAGCAGAGATCTTCTGTGACAACGGTCGTAATTTCGTTGCTGCCGCTAAAGAAATAAATAACTTTTTAAAGGACAATAAAGATTCTTTACGTCATTTTGCCAATCAAGAGCAAATTCAATTTAAATTCACACCACCTTATTCTCCTCACTTTGGCGGGCTCTGGGAAGCCGGCGTAAAGAATTCTAAATATTACATAAGACGCGTGATCGGAAATAGTCACCTAACTTTCGAAGAGATTTTAACTTTATTTTCTCAAGTAGAGGCGATTTTGAACAGCCGTCCCCTATATCCTCTGTCGTCCTCTCCCGATGATTTCCTTTGTCTCACTCCAGGGCACTTTCTCATTGGAAGACCGTTGCGTGCACTGCCTTCCCCCAATCTACAAGACTACAAAGAAAACAATTTGCAAAGATACCAAAGAATTGAGAAATTACGTCAGCATTTTTGGAACAGATGGCAGAAAGAATATATATCGGAGCTGCAGCAAAGAACAAAATGGAAGACCAATACTGCAAAATTGAAAATTGGAGACTTAGTCATTATTCAAGAAGATTACTTACCTCCTTTGTGTTGGAAACTGGGACGAGTATTACGTTTATTCCCTGGACCAGACGGCATTTCGCGTGTAGCTGATGTCAAAACTGCAGGAGGATGTCTACGACGCCCTCTAGTTCGATTTTGTCCTCTACCAAATGAAGAGGATTTTAAATATTGAAAGAAGCCTTTCAAGGTGGCGGGAAGATGTTCCGGCACTCCTTCAACACTCTTGAACGCAATCTATTTTAACTGCAAAAAGTTGCTATTTAAATGTGCACAGGCGCATTGGATTTGTTTTCGATGTACCTGCGTTATTTTGTATTCTCTCACTTTTTCTTCGTCTACAAAAATCAATCGGTCTCCTCAAAATTGTTAAAAATAATTATTAAAATTCAATATTAAAAGCAAATTTGGGTTTCATTTGAAACTCCGATGTGTTAGCGAAGACACATACATTATTGTTAAAATTTCACACTTACAGTATAAAAGCATAAGACAATGCAAAATACCGAGTAAGATGGCAAATCCTCATAGTTCTCCGAAATATATAAAGGCAACGTATGAGGAGTGTCAAGGGCCAGAAATGATGACGTATAACGTACTGTCATGCTGTTTCTTTATGTAAACAACGATTGTCTATTGCCATATTATGTTATCTATGCTATTACCATTAGATAGGCGAACAACTTGTTTACCAGTATATAAAAAAATCACGTATATATATATGTGTATAATTACAAGTATATAAAAAAAATCTCCAATGCTGGCATATTCACATTGCTAAATTAATTAATCTTGTAGATAAAATATTATCCATAAAAGTAATTAAAATATATCAGTAATTAATAACTTAAAGATAGAAAATGGTCAACATTATAGAATTATGGAGGGGAGCCGCGATGGTATAGGTCGTTTTAACATTATATAATTCGTTTTAACAGTGTCTCATTAAATTTCGAATCTTTCGATATTCTGCTAACTACAGTGATGATAATGTAGTTAGCATAATTATAACAATATATATATATAAAGTTATAATGAAAATACACTACGAGACACGCATCAGAAAAGATAAAAAAAATGATAGTATAGTTAATTGACCTCAGTCTCTCAATTAATATTTCAACACAAAATAGCAGATAATATGTGTTGAAAATTCATTGAATAATCTAAGCCTAAAACTATTAACGGCAATACAAAAATACATTTGAATAATATAAAGTATAAAAGCAAATTAAATTGAAATTTTATTTCAGACTAACGATTTCAACAGCTTACATAGAAAAATATTTAGTATATGATAATAATGAATAGGTATTTTAGTCTGTAAGCTGTTAAGATTTTTCTGAAAGCATTTTACTATTTTTACATCTCGCTACAGTCGTATCCCATCACAAACGAATTTAAATTTCAAATGACAGAACGTAATGCGATTAGAATGGAAAAATAATTAAAACCAGCCAAAGAATCAACATGGGATATAACTGGAAACGAATTTCGGGTCCAACGGCCCAGTTAGCATTTATAGCGACTTCCTTTATTTATTTTTGCATTTACGATTAATAAATTTAATATTTAACACTTATGAAACAATAACATGAACATATCAGAATCATCATTTTCCACTACTACTACTACCTATAACAGTAGTAAATAATGATTCTGAAAAGTTTCTCTTTATTCATTTAAGACGTCGCCAGTGATTGGCGAATATTTCTTTGTTTTATGTCTATCATTAGTTCAACAACACTTACTATAAAAACATATTCGGCACATCTCTGCATGTATAATCTTATTGATTGTTTTTTACTTAGTATATACTTCTCACACTTTACGTAGTAGTAATAGACTTTATTATTTAGAATATTTAATGAGAAATAGTGTTAAATAAATAGCTAAATACTTCGACTACGGGAATCAAAACTGATATCACAAGATGGTGGGATAAGGTAAAACACGAGTATAAACTGCCAAGATCCTCAAATAACCAATTACCCGTTGGTTTGAACGTTGCTATATCCTTTTATATTTTAGAAAAAGCAAAAAGAAATATTTTTAATATCGCAAACTGTAATATTCCTTTGATTTTGTCAAAGTATATACACTAATAGAAAATTGGCAATATTAAATATTAATATGAAATTCTTTGAGGCAAAAAGGAAATAAAAATATGAATTACATAAAATTATTATACATAAAAACTTCTAATCTTTCAGTAAAATACTCATAGCATATTTATAGTATACAAGGATTAAATATTTTATAGGTACCATTGAACTAATAATATTGTGACATGGAAACAACAAAGGTAATTTAATTATCTAATAATTAAATACAAAGTACTTTACATACTTTTACCAAAATAGCATAAGGATAACATAAGATACATTCATAATATTGTAGAGAAATAAGTTTGATCCACTTATAGTTATTATACGTGCAAAAAATTGTTATTTGTTATGATTACAAAAACACAGCTATACATAACTAGCAGCATGATGCATTAATAGCGTTACTCGCTAATCTCGCTCTTAATCTTATCTACCACTCTCTATTTTATCTTAGACAGATATTTATTAACAATATTATGAATACCAAATATTTAGATACCAAATACCATACATATCGACAATTCTTTGTCTTTCACTAATACTGAAATTATAAAATTCTCTTGGATCATAACTGACAAAGATTGTATAACTATTTGATTTTTTTTTTATAATACCATTTAAACTTTTCGAAAATAATTATTCAAAGGAACATAATCTAAATGGCACTTATATGATAAGCTACAGGAAGTTATTATTAAAATATTCCCTTAACCTTCAAGCCATCTCCAAAGCTATGTTCACATCTATTGATGGGTCAGACAGACACTCTGGGCGCAAACCCATACAAGCGAGTGCAATAGAATCCGACTTATTTTCTGTATATACCAAACAACTCTTAAATGCTACTTCACATTTGATTCACCTAAACCTACGAATACAACTTTTTGCAGTTACAATGATAATAGGGAGGCGTAGTAATTTAACATACAGGTGTGTTCGTATATTTACACGAGCATAAAATGTTTCTAATCTGCACCATGAAACGGAGCAAGCAGTACAAAACCCATGGCAGGCGGTACAAAAACCGAGTCAGATAAGGATTTATGGTGCAATAAAGTGGACCACGTTGCAGCGCATCCGGCCGCGAATCTATTTGTGCACATAAAACGAGCTTAAAACCTAGATTGCCAAGAAAACTTCACACCAGCCGCCATTACTACTACCCTTACTTAGACGGTGTCAAACGATTCGAATACTCTTATATCTAATACATAAAAATATAAATAACCTAGCCAGTTAAACTGTTACGATTTTTATATTACGCTTACATTTCGTAATAAGGTAAGGTATTGTCTAACCGTCGCCTATATATACATGTGTACTTGAAGGGCATCACTGATATCATGTTATCATGAGACGCCCATGATACCACTCATGCATTGTCTTTCTCAATTACTATGATGTCACGACTCCATGTACTGTAATTTCACCACCTTATTCTTCTTTAACCCTTATTAACACTTCAACCGAAACAATGTCTACAAGAAATGCTGCTTGGTGACTGAAATAGGCGAGACAGAGATACCAATACAAACGACTACAGCAATAGAAGCAATTTAATCACGCATTGCTTCATACATAGGAATAAGATATGTTATTACATGATATTAGATATGGAGGTAGGAGCAAGGATACAACGAAAAAATATTCTTATCAAAACGGTTTAATAAGGTTTCAGTATAAAAGCGGCAGGTAATAGTAGTTTGTTATAATAGAGCAAATGCGCCTAAAAATTCTAAAGTAGCATTCTCTTGGCTAATAAATATGTTCTTAATGAGCTTTATAGGGGGGGAATTTTCAATAACTCACACGGAAGGTTGAAAGGTGGATTACAGGAACAACTTCAGCTGTGGCGCAGTAATTCAGAGTTAGTGTCACATTATCGTTAGCATAATCAGGGTAACAGCTGCGGTTGCTACCTACGTTTTTAAGGAAAAACCATCCGAACGAGAATTTAAAGTGCGCCCATAATGCGTTCCTTTTCATTGGCCGAGACTAAGAATTTAGAAATACGACACTCGTAAAAGCCCGGCCATCTTAAAATTCTCTCGCGGAAGATCTGTAGGAACAAAAAGCGACTATCATAATTTTAGTTATTACGCTAATTTCAAGTCGTATGTCACTTCAATCCAGTCGGGAATTTTCATTTCGTTGAAATGAATTCAGAACTATGTCTTGTGACTGCGGTATAACAAAAATATTTCATTTTATCAGCGAGACGAAGCACGGTTGCTTTAAATAGCTTTAATTAACGAAAAAATCAATCCTCTTAACTTTTACATTATCATTCTGGCTTTACCCTTGTCGTTTTGTTTAGGATAGCTTACATGTTTTCCTTTTCTGTCCTAAAACTTTCGCATATTTATATGTGTGTAGCGAAATTGTGCCTATCCTTTATTTTACTCGACAGAGTAAATGAGTTGAAAATTATTTTAAACTTTACTAAAACATATCTGCATACACTGATAAATTGGTATTAATAATAATAATATTATAAAATGAGAACTATAATATGTACTTTCTCATTATCATGTTTACTATATCGATATGCAAGTAAATATCCAAAGCCAAATATGTTTTTTTTGCAATCCTAAAAGTATAATAATACGTAACATGTTACCTTCCTTTACATTTAAAACAATGTTGCCGGATGACTTTTCCTTTGTATGTTGCGACCTGGCTATTACTAAGTGGCAATATAACATTTAAATTGAACCGTATACGTATGGTGCATTATTGATACCTTGACGTACTCGTAACAAGTTTCAACTATCGCCATGATTTTTTATCTTTAGAGCCTTAATAATTTATTTACTTTCGACTTACATATTATAACAGTTTATGCAATGTACATATACAACTACTGTTTATTTTATTTTAAACATATTATTTTTATTGTTATTGTTTTAACATAATAATTTGCCTTGAGTGTCAACTTATTACGATAACAATTTCTTACAGACAAGTTTTTTTATTAGGGATCTAATTATATTAAAGTAAAGCCCTTGCATCGGCTCCATCCAACCAAGAATTGTACAACTAGTTCAGGTAAAATGAGTAAAATAAT